TACAAGAACATTACTATTATATGAAAGACAAAGAAACTGGAGTAAAAAAATGTAACACAAGACCAAAAGAATCAAGAGATTACTGCTTGCGCACTTAGCTAACAATATGTCAGCAATTAAAGTTTATAAAAGAAAAGAACCAATGTCTTGAAGAACAGGTTTAATTAAAATTTCAAAAAAAAAAAAAGCTTATGAATTGAAGTAGTTGCCTCCCCGGCAGGCAACTTTGAATCTCATCCAACAACCCTTTAACATAAGCAATTAAAATGAAAGAATCCATTGATATCCCGAAATCTTTTCCTTGTTTTGTTTTCCAGGAATATCTCTTCTGGAAATGACTTCAGTCCCAGTAAACACATCACGAGGTCCAATCTCAATCCTTAGAGGTACTCCCTGCAGAAAAGCTAGGTAAATTTCAAAGCACAATCGTATTACATTTAACTGTAAAATAGTATTTCTTGAGATCCACACACATAACTTCTTAATATGGAATTATTAATAGCAACAGCAGACGTTTCAAAATTGAAACTTCATTCCCTCTCAGAAAACAAAGCCAACAACAGTAAGTTGGCCTTCAATAGATATCACTTGACTTGTTAATTCTTCAAGCCAGTCTTCAAAAAGTTTTGGTTGAGCAAATCGCAATTGAAACCTAACCACTCAGTTTTTTTTTTCAAACTAATTTTAAACAATAACTCTAGATGCTCAAGTGAAGTGAAGTAAGGTGACAAGTCTTCAAAGTAACCAAGCTTTGGTGAGATATATTAGAATTAACCTTCAGGAATCTTAAAGCTCCAAAGAAGTTAGTTTAGATGTAGTCCTGTGCTCGTTAACATTCTAAGAAAAAAAAATCATTTGAAATGCTTGTGGCCATGCATTTGGGATTTTCCTCTCCCTAAATTTCTCTTATTCTCACTCATGCTTTGGCGGGAGAAGTCCAATGGCAAGATAGATATTGGGCAAGATACAGAACATCTACAGAAGCAGGCAAACCTTTCATCTCCGAAAAGTTATATTTCCATCCAGGTGTTCTCTGATCAGAGTCATCAAACTTGACCTTTGTTCTGGTTGCTTGCAGAGCTTCTTTCATTGATGATGTAGCATTAAGAACTCCAGTTCTATCACCTATTTTTTTCCATATTGGGACAATCACAAATCGAAAGCAGTCAATAATAGGAGCTATTCCATCTCAAGAAAGACAATTTTAATGCACATAGCCAGAAAAATGGAAGCGCTACAAAAGCAGAGAGCTGTTACTTTACTGCAATTATGAGTCCAATTTCGGGACCAAAATCAAAACAAAAGTTGCAAAACTAATGTAAAATGCTAGAAATACAAACCTGCACACGTTTAGGAAACCAAATAATGATTTAAAAAAATCAGCTTTGCAAAAATTAATCAGCCCGTTGAGTTCAAACACAACATCCATTCCCAACCCCCATTCACTCTATCTTTTGAGCAGACCCATTAGCAAATATAGTCAGTAAAACAACCAAAAACATGCAATAGGCTCAGAAACAATTAATCAGTCTCTGTTAGAAGAAGATTCTCCTCTCCATGCATGAGGGCTCATAAAACTCTTCTGCATGAGTTTTATGAGTTCAGAACAAAGCACAAAAGAGTTTTATTTTTTTTGGGCAGCCTTTTTTTTGGGAGAACAAGACAAATATCAAAGGGCAGGGGACAAGAAAGAAGAAAAAAATGCAGTAATTATGGTAGTTTAAAGTAAGGCTCAGGTTTGTTAGTAAAAGTCAGGCAGAGATGAGAATACCGCCATGGCTGCAGACCCAATTGCATTTGAAGGGAAGAATGAACCTCAAATGCAATCAGGGTTGCCTTGCCAAGATACGGCAATCAATTTAAAGCATGAAATACATCTAATGAAACCAAAACCATATCATCATAGCCTAACTGAGAACAAAATAAATTAGCCTGTTTACAACTTTCATCTGCCGTAATACTCCAGCCAGAGAGCTACACCCTTTTCCAAAAAAATCACCATCCATCTTGGTAAAAACCTAACAAGAAACAAAAGGAAACATGAAGAAATATTCAAATCCAAGGAAAAATGAAGAAAAAATTGCTCATGAATAGACACGTTTATTCACAAACATCTATAATGTACTTCTAAAAGTAGTTTACAAGTTCTACAATCATCAATCTAACTAAAACAAAGCTCAAGGAATTAAAAGATAAGAATACATACATAAAAAAAATTAGCAAACTTACTTAGTGAAGAAGAACGTAGCACAACAAAAGCACCAAAAATTTCCTAAAAAGAAAAACACACGTATTAAAAACAAGCAAATTAAACAATAAGCATAATATCAATCTAAATATTTCACAAGAAGAGAAAAATCACGCGGTTCAAAAACTGTAAAAATTGCTCACTGTAAGAATTGACAACAATATGGAGAATAGCATAGATAAAACAGAAATAGATGATTTTAGTTGTATCAAGTCTAATAAAAAGAAAGAAAAAAAAATACTGACGATAGAAAGTGCTGAAAAAATAAGAAAATTTTGAACAGATCTGCAATGTATCTGGAAAGAAAAGATGATTGCTTGAAACCAGCACCAACAAAACTCGATAATGTTATTTTCTTGACAGTCATAGTCCATCCAGACAGAAAGCATATGAAAAAAGAAAATTTTTGCTCCATGGCCAGCTAAAAAAATAAAAAAGGAAGACAAACTCAGATGTGTGGGAAAAGTCAATGCCACAAGCGTCATTAAGAGCTTTAGAGGCCGAATGCGTAACACGAAAAAAATAAAAGTGAAATGCTTTGGAACGAACAAAAAAAGAGCAACGCAAAAAAAAAAGGCATGCAAAACATAATATCTAGAGATAGGCAAAAAAAAAAAACAAATAAAATGCATGAGTCAAAAATTATCTAAAGAAGCAGATCCCTAGGTTTAAGGATTGGACTAAACGGCAACATAACAAGAACGGAGAATAAGAACAAAGCACAAAAGAGTTTTTTTTTTTTTTCTGGGACAGCCTTTTTTTAGGGAAAACAAGACAAATATCAAAGGGCAAGGGACAAGAAGGAAGAAAAAAAACCGAAACAGGCAAGAGACCAAAAAACACCACATGACAAAACGTACAACTACGCATGATGTACATGTTTTCGAGTTTGAAAGGGAGAACAACTGGAGCTTCCCGGAATGCAGACCAAAATCAAACCCATGTAGACTCAGACACCGGAACAACCAAACAAAAAGCAACGCAGCGTGAAGAGAAACAATAAAAAAAAACAATGAAAAAAGGCAAGATCGTACCAGACCGATAGCGACAAAAGTGTAACATCGTCGATCGTGGTTTCTTTTTTATCAGCTTCTGCTCTGAACCCGCTCGCAGATCCCTCTTTTTTCTCGCTTTATCAGCACTCTGCAGCAGAGACAAAGTTCAAAGTTTTCCCCCTCCAAAACCCCAAAAAGTAAGGAAAAAAGAAATTATAGCTTCAATTCAAGCTTGAACTGGCAATGGTTTCAGCTCTGAGCTAAGGAACCCAATCTTCATCAAGATTCCAAGCAAAACCCTATTCCAACCAAGATAAAAATAACCCAGCACAGGTCAAGGATAAAAGTGGAAACTCCAGCAATAAGCAAGAAATCAGATGCAAAATCAGTAAAAAATCTCCGCTTTTCCCCTTCTACAGCCTACGCTAGTCCAGCGCATTATTTGATCTGTAAGAAGTCTTCGGCGAGATCTTCCGCGAATTCCACGTCCAAAAGGTTTTTTAAGCGACCGTTCCCTTCTCCGTCTCCGGCGAAGCACAATAAGGCGGTGTTAGCTAAGAGACACGGGTCTGTGAAGCCGAACGAGGCGTCTATACCGGAGGGAAATGAATCCGAAATGGTGGCGGCTTTGGACAAAAGCTTTGGATTTTCTAAGCATTTTGGAAATAAGTATGAGCTGGGAGAAGAAGTGGAAAGAGGGTATTTTGGGTATACTTTAAAGTAAGAAAAAGGTTATAGCAAAGGACGAAAATATCAACGGTAGGCTAAAACATACAGAGAAAAGTCACAACAAAGGCTCGAGAAGGGAAACAAAGAACAAAGAAAAAAAATCAATTTCAGGCTAAAGATCACGCAGAAAACCAACAGCAAAGTCTGCAGCTCACCGAAAAGGCAAAAAAGGAAGAAGAAGAAAACTCACAACGGAGGAAGAGGAACAAAACCAAATGTCTGGACCACTGCGCAGTGAAGATGAGAACGCGAGGGACCGAGGCTCGATGTCTCAATAGGTTAATGTACCAAGGCTTTAAACATCCGGATAAGCAAGAGAGCAACATTGCCCAAGAGAAGGAGAGAGAGAGAGAGAGGACGGGGAAGAAGGGGCATGTAATATTGCCAGATAGAGATACAAGTCTATCAACGCGACAGACAACCCAGCAAGAGGCACATGGGATGCTGACAGAGGAGAAGATGATAACCCGGCGCGCGAGCCGCGAACGACATAAAGCTCTCAATCACATGCGTGGCACGTGAGAGGACGACGAAAACTATCCAGGTCATCAGAGCTCTTCGCTCTTTATCTACTTATGTTGAAAAATTGAAATCAGCCTCTCAACTCTTACTCTGCGCGTCCGAATTGAGTGATATGTTGGTATTGGGGGCGATTATGGATTACACAATAGAGAGGAATTATATCATCATATGTGACGGTATTTAAACTTGAGGGGTATCGCGACCCTTTATCCTCTTTAGAAATTGTTTGGATAGAGTATTATATGAAATATTATTTGGAATAATTACTGTAGCACTTTTTGTTTTGTGATGTGATGTATGTGAGATAAAAAAATAATTAAAAATATAAAAAAAATAAATTAAAAAATGTGTTAATGATACAAGCAAAATATTTATTTAAAATATTTGTGTTATCCAAACACTCTGTTATTATAATAATTATTTGAGGATACGCGATGGTAAGTATGTCTTTGCCCCTTCGGAAAAGAAAAAAGAAAGTATTATGTCTTTGCACGAATTGGGGAAAAAAAAAGAGGAAAAAAAAAATGGTCGAGACACCAGCCAGCCAGCAGGAGGGAATTAGGCAATTGAGGGGAGGCAGGGAAGGAGGGAGGCAGGCCGCTTCTTCTTCTCGAGTTCTACTTACCGACCTCGTACAGTACAGATAGATAGATAGCTGTGTATAGTATAATTTCATGATCTAATAGGGGAATACGGAGAAACCCTAAAAGTCAATCTTCTTTCTTTGTTCCAGAATAATACTACTAGTGGTCTTTAGGACAATCCTCGTGATCGGTGTGAGATTCCAGACCCCAAATCCACGGTCTCCCCTCGCTTTCCTTCCCTCTCCGCTTTCGCTTCCCTTCCCGCATAGAGAAGAAGAGGAAGAGCGCAAAAGAGAAGGGAAGAGAAGAGAAGAAGAGAGAGAGGATTAAGAGCAACAAATAGTAGTGTATTATTGAGATATAAGAAGGATGGACGACAGCTGTGCAGTGTGCGCCGAGAGCCTGGAATGGGTGGCCTACGGAGCATGCGGACACAAGGATGTGTGCTCGACCTGCGTTGTTCGCCTGCGCTTCATCTGCCACGATCGCCGCTGCTGTATTTGCAAGACCACCTCCGATTTCATCTTCGTCACCAAGGTCAGCCTTCTTCTTTCAGTTTACACTGGGAAAGTTCAAATAGATACTAAGCTGCATCATTTTTGGCCTGCCGTCTACTTTATTCTCATCCCTAATTACATTTTAGATTTATACTCACAGTTTTCTTCGGGCTTCTGGAGCCTCCCCATTTTTGTTGCTTATTTCTTGAATTAATATAAATAAAAGAAAATTGAACCGGTCATTTAATCAGTAATGTTTCTCCTTCTTTTCTGTAACTACTAATTGCCAGCAATCTCAGAATACATACTGGTAGGTTCCTAAACTATACCCTCACTCCTTTCCCTTCCCTTACCAACCCACACCTCCCTCATTCTCGCTTACAACCTTCTCCTCCCCATCTTCCCCCCTTCCCAGGCTTTGGGAGATTATACTCGGATGATCAACGACTTTTCAGCCTTTCCTTCTGAGCCGAAGGAGGGTCGACTTGGCTCCTTTTGGTACCACGAGGACACCCAGGCTTTCTTCGATGATGTGGACCACTATAAGATGATCAAGGCCATGTGCAGGCTTTCTTGCAGCGTCTGTGATGCCAAAATGTTGGACGAGCTGCCCAACAATGACGCATCCAGGAGAAGGCCTAGATTTCGGAGTATTGAACAGCTTAAGGGCCATCTGTTTCACCAGCATAGGTTGGTTATGTGCAGCTTGTGTTTAGAAGGAAGGAAGGTAGGTCCATCACTCCTTTTTTTGTCTAATTTATTTTATGTTCCCTGTTGCATACTTCCCGCTTGAATTACCTGTGTAATGGGACATTTAGGTCTAGATTTTGCAACAATAGTCAGCCGATTTAGAGTTGAATATTGGACCTTCCTCTGAAATGCTGGACACTTTCATCTAGCTTGATGTTAAGTTAATGTTCTGCCTCATCTTAGCTAACTGATTTAACTGCTTCAGTTATCCTAATTCTGTGATTGCATTTTGCCACTACTTGTCTGATTGTGGATGCAGTTGTATAGTATATTATAAGTAAACCACGGATCTGGTATGTGGAATCTAATACATAATCTCATTTACCTCTCCACAGATTGATCTCCTTGGTATGTATGTAGATGCATATACCACTCATGGAAGCCTTAATTCTTTTTTTTTTTTTTTTTTTACATGTGAGTCAATCAATTGCTGTTAGTAGTTAATGCACAAACATAACAGATGAAAAACTATGATTGCAACTTTCCAAGTCAAAAAATGCCAATAACTTGAGCTTTTCTGGTTTTGGTTGCTTCCTGATAAAAATTCAAGAGCTAGGACAGTGATCGGATGGATGTGCACCTAAGTTTGATCTTCGGTCTATGGAAGGGTTGCCCTTCTGTCTGTTCATTTATCAGTACCCAAAAATTTGCTTCCTTGTCTATACAAGAAGGTTCCTAATGAAAGTCTAGGATGATTCTTCTTTTGTAATACGTGTGGATCTATATCAGGTGGATTGCATTAATGTTAGAATCATTTGCATAAAACCTGTTGAAACATTTTTTTAAGTAGTTGGGACCACATTGCTCCAAAATATCTGTTAATAACATGATGATACTTATATTAGCTTCTTTGTTATTATGGCAGGTGTTTATTTGTGAGCAAAAACTATATACTAGAGCACAACTGGATCAGCATATAAGCACTGGTGATTCTGAGGTGGATGGAAGTGAAAGTGAAAGAGGTGGATTCATGGGGCATCCAATGTGTGAATTCTGTCGAACTCCGTTCTATGGAGATAATGAGTTGTATTCACACATGTCTACTGAACACTATACCTGTCATATTTGTCAAAGGTAATCATTACCTTCTCCCTCTCTCTCCCTCTCTCCCTCTCCCTTTCCCTCTCCCTCCTCCCTTGCCCCTTCCCCTCACAAGGAGAATCACAATCACATGATTAGTTGGGTAATAATTGCCCTGATCTACACAGGCAGCATCCTGGACAATATGAATACTACAAGAATTACGATGATTTGGAGGTTAGAGAATTTGTATTTGCTCATGGAGTCTTTGGTATGTCCAGATTTTTTTTGAGTCTAGATTGTAAATTAAAGTTTCTTTCTTTTCTTTGACAGATCCATTTCCGTCGGGATCATTTCTTGTGTGAGGATGAAGCCTGCCTTGCTAAAAATTTATTGTCTTTCAATCTGAAGCTGAACTGAAGGTCAGATTTTTAAGCACAGACAAGAATGTGAAGTGTACTTGTTTGTAAATACACTAGCACAAATACACATGAGCACTCAGCTGTCTCACATGCTTTTCAAGTAGTGCGAGGTTGCTAAGAGTTTTGCATTTGGTCCTCAATCTTTATCTCTATCTTGTTCCAACTCCAGAGGCACAACACATTAGAGCATGGAGGACGTATGTCTCGTTCCAAGCGTAATGCTGCACTTCAGGTATATTTCTGTATTCATGACTTTTTAGTAACATGTTTTGTTCACAGCACTGGAGGTTCGGTAGGAAGAAAAATGGACATAGAGAATGAAAAAGAGGTGTGAGACATGTAGAATAAAGCACTTATTTCTTCTTGTTTGTTTGATGGTTTGGCAATCAGCATATACTGTTACCACATTGATGTTTTTACAGCTATTCTGTTATAAATTCAGTCATTTGCATCTTTATTTATTACTTTGTCTTTTGACTGTGCAATACTGATTTGTCATGCAGTTGCCAACTAGTTTTCGATATCGACGGAGTAATGAACAGGAGAATCGTCGTGGAAGGGGGCGTACATTTCGGCGTGATACTTCTGAAACTGACCTCTCTTTGGCCATCCAAGCCAGTCTCGAGGCATCTAATTTGGATGGCAGAATTCCAAATGCTACATCGTCCAGCGGGAGGGCATCTGCTTCAGGAGAAATAAGTGATGTTGATCCACTTATTTCACCTCTAGAATCATTAGCTACGACAGATTCTGAGCAATCTTCACGATATCGTGAGGCCTTGTCGCAGAACTCTGGAATGCACCACTTGAAGTGTCTTCATTTCCCCTTCCCATGGCTCCTGGTAGCAGTCAGCTGAAGTCGCAACAAGATGCTTCAATGAAGAAAAGTATGGCAGCCCATCTACGGGTTAAGAACTTAACAAAAAGCTTTCCAAGGTCATCACCAGCTTGGCCAATGGCACGGAGTAAACCTGTATCAGCAGCAGTTTCTCCACAGCTTACTCCAAATACTGCACCTGGGTTAGCTCTAGTTCTGGCCTTAATAAGCTGGCTGCAGATGATGTCGTGCATTGTCCACCTCTTCTAATCCTGTTCAGGCACGACCTGCATCCAGTCATGATTCATCATATTCTCATTCTTATTCGCAATCACCAGCTCAGCAAGTTTGGCCTACATTAAATAATTCCTCTGGATCATCATCTTCCATAGGCCAAAGTAGCCAGCCACAGAAAATGGACCTTCATTATCTACCTATTCAAGCTCTCTTATGGCTCGACCTCCAATGGCTAGTGACACATATTCATCAAAGAACAGGGCAGCTCCGGTAAAATTAGTTATTCAGCGTCAGCACCAAACCTTGTTCATGAGTGGAGCTTTTGACTCTCTAGCTACTGATTTTCCTCCAGTTTCGGCCACGCAGGTAGGGAAGTTGCCCACTGGTAGCCAAGTCATCACCAATGTAGAAGATGTTCATAGTGCAAACAAATCTTTAGTGGAAAGGATACGCGTTGCTTTGGACTTGAATCAGGACAAATTCTCTGCTTTCAAAGACATATCTGCAGAATATCGTCAAGGTTTAATAGATGCAGAGACATATCTTGTATATGTGGAGCAGTTTGGCTTGACACATCTTCTTGTTGAGTTGGCTCAACTCTGTCCAGATGCTCGCAAGCAGAAAGAGTTGATTGAGACATACAATACTAATATGGTAAGTGATTCCACAAAAGAGAACAGAAGAAGTGCCTTCCATCCCAAAGATGTTAATCGTTCAAAGAAAGGAAAAGATAAGGCTGTCGATGCTGGAAATAATACTGCAAAGGATAATTTAGCTGACAGCATCATCAGTACAGTAAGGGAACTTCAGTCAAGCTACAAGCCTTCAGAAGAAGTTGAAGTGTTATCAAAGGATGGTTATCGAGCTGCCAAGGGAAAATCAAAAATAGCAGTTGATGAATCTCAAGGACAACTATCTTCAACTGGTGAATCTGCTATTCCCAAGGGCCAAACTGACTTGCCTGGATCTATTAAAAAAAAAGTGGAAAAAGATGGAAGAAGTAAACAACGGAAGAAAACATCAAAGTTCCACAGGATCCGCTTAGGCGATGGCTCTGCAGCAGCAATTTTGGACCTTAAAAATCCAAATTCTGATCAAGATCCAGATCCAGATTTGTCTGAGGCTGCTTCAGGAGGGCAAAATCATTTTACTGAAGGTGTGCCTGGTCGGGGTGTTTGGCGTGACGGTGGTGGACAGAAGCTTTTTGCAATGACTTCAAGACAGCCGAAGAAGTAATGAAAAGGAGGTAGCTGCTGATGATTCAGTTGAAATTTAGTTGTGGAGAACTGAATCTATGATTAATTTCCTTTTGATATGATATGTGCTGGGATTCTACACAGATATCTAGGGCATTTTATGCAGCATTTTAATGATACATGGTAACAGTTTTTTTTGGGGAGCGAGTGAGTTCTTCAATCAGATTTTGCATGTTTGGGTTATTATAGGTACATTTTCTTGCCCCTTTTTAAGTTCCAAGAGAGAGTGTATCATGTTCTCAGTTGCTTGCAATTTTGGCCTCAAACCTTGTAGTAGGGTGCAGCTGAAGTATATTTGGCAAGTAACAAACATGGTGATTTTCTGAATTGTATAGGCAAATTGGAACCTCATTTTAAAGATTTTCTTTTTGTGAAATGAATTTGGGTGGTCTACCTGTTGCGCGCAATCTCAGCATTCAATGCGTATTGGTATATGGTTCTGGCTTAGATTCAGCTGTAGGATCTGCTCTGTCGTATGAAAGTTGTATCACTGAGAAAACGATTGTGACACTGCAAACAGACATGCAGAGATGTTTTTGTGTGCGCGCGCACGTGCTTGAGTGAAGTTAGTTTGCTTGGGTAACAAACAAACTTAGCGTTACGAGGAACAGCACCCAAGTTATCAATCCCCGAGTCTGCAAACTGGTAATGCTGGGTAGTTCTGTTTTCTCTAGGGCAATTTTATTTGAGCATTTGGGCCCAAAAAAAAATGGTACTGTTTCGGAACTACCGCCCCTCTGCTTTAGCAAGTTACGAAGGATGCCACGTCGTTCATGACACACTTGATGTTCAAGCTTACTGTAGATGTCAAGGTCTATTCCACTTTTTATATACTCACTTTGCAGTTTAGGCTTGTTTTAATTGCTAATCTTCCACTATACATGAGAAATTAAAATGTAAACCATGCTTTTGGGATGTCAGTACGTGCATATCATAACACATAACCTAAATCAACAGTCAGTCATGTGTGTCTACATACACACACACACACACACACAGAGATAATACATGTTTTAATTACCTAAGTTCATCCCTCAGGAGGAAGATAACAGAAATATATTCCTTAGTGTTACCACATACAAATGTACTACAAATGTACAACGTCCAACTTCTAGACAATTTGACACAAACAAGCGATTTACTGCAATTGGCAATCCAGAGTCTAAGCAAGTTATAGAGGGTCACTTTACTTGCCTGCACTCACAAGTCACAACCAAAGGTTTTCTCACTGCTGTAGCACATATAAACAAATCCATCTTCTTCCTTGTACGATTCATAAACAAACTGCATCAAACTTGCTGCAGATGACAGCCGATTACGGCAGCACCTCATTAGGTACGCAAACAAAACTTAAACAAGCAAGAAAGGAGCAAAAAAGATGTAACCAGGTCTTTACATGTTTGAGGCAAGGTGTTCTCGACAAATACAAAAAGAGCTTTCCCGGGAGCCAGATGGAGCCTCCCGCTAAGGACGTGAATGAACTGTCCCACAGACATGTCTCTAGGCACTAGGAATCTGTGGATGAAGGGAAAAGAGATCAAAGCTCAGTTGTCCAACAAACATGTTTCATAGTCTCTAGGAAATAGGAATGTGTTGGTGACTTGATGGAGGGGAAAAACGAACGAACATTCAAGAGGAAGCCTAAGAAGTGTTAAGAAAAAGTGAAACAACTTACTTCTTCTTCTCCATGTCGGGAAGATCAGTTTTGAGATACTTTTCCACGACCACCTTGATAACGATAAAATCAAAATGTAAAAGACGTTAGAGCAGGAAAGTGATGCTAGACACTGTTGAAATGCAGCATTCGATCAATTGAGCAGGAACAGGAAGGGAACTACAGAGGGGAGGGTTCAACAAAGGAAGAAATTGACATAAAGCTTGCGCGAAAATACAATTGTAACTAAGATACTACTTGTTACTGTCATATTTGAGGATTAAAAGCATTTCCAGGTTAGGAATGTCAAAAAGGCCCAAGGCGTCACTGGTTTGCATCACAGGCATTGACAGGAGGCAATAGGCAGCATGTGGTACGCATATACAGCATAAATAAATAAATAGAAAGATCATCAGATTAAAAGCATTAAAAGGAAAGAAATGAAAGACAAGATCATCGAAAAAAAAAAATTTTTTTGGGGGGGGGGGGGGGGGAAGGGGAAGGAGAGGTGTTGAGGTAAAAGTATTGATTAACCTAAATAAAACACAACAGAAAGAGTAATAGTACTACTACTACTACAACACAAGCAGGGCATCATGAGCACAACGACGATTGCATACAGGTAGTCGGTCGGGATACTTAGCCATCATCTCTTGCGATTCTGCGCACCTTTCCTCTGTCAAATTAGCACCAATCAAGCAAATAAACAATCAAAATCAATACCACCCAAAAAAATTTTGAAAAAATTATTATTATTATTATTTTTTGAAAAGGGCAGGGTACTAGGTATCGGACCAAAAGTGAATTGGTCTTTGAAGGAGATACTCGTGCCGCCTTTCCCATCTGGATGATGATGATGATGATGATGATGATGGTCTCCCACACAAACACAATTCCCTTGACCTCTCTACCTGCAAAGTGCAAACTCGCAAACCCTTCCCAGACCAGGCAAGCCCGAGCAACCTTAGGATGCCTCCGGAAGCAACCACCGCCAATCCCTATTAATTGCTCGCATGTGCTGTGGATTTCGTAATGCGGTCTTTTGTAATGTATAATATTTGAACGTTTCTATCAAGTATCAACACAGCGGGATAGCTCAGTTGGGAGAGCGTCAGACTGAAGATCTGAAGGTCGCGTGTTCGATCCACGCTCACCGCATTGCACCATTATGTACACATTTTTCCTTAATAAATATATAATCGCCGCATTTGTTTTTTTTTTTTTTGGTTATTTCCTGAACACATTTTTCAACGCATGTTTATCTAACATGAAAAAAAGTGCTACAACGATACATTATAAAAAATTCAATCAAGTTGGATAGTCCATTTGTCATAGGATTATTGTTATAACCCATGTAATCTTCTTCCCATCCCATGCCTATCGAGGGTATCTTTATTCATTGGTTCAACTTTTTTATATTGATCTCCTTCCATCTCCATCTCTAGATTCTACAAGCACAAAGTAAAATTTATGACTCCGTTTGAATAGTTATTTTTTTGTGTGTTTTTGAAAAATTTTGTTGTAGCAGAATTTTTAGATTATATTTTGGAATATTTTCAAAAATATTTTCGAATATTTAAGAGTAAAAGAGTTTGTAGAATATATTTTGAGATATTTTTAAAATTTTTAAAAAAATTAAACTAATTTTTAGATTATCTTTTAGAGACTTTTTAAAATTTTTTTTGTATTTGAAAAACTAGTTTTTGAAAAATACTCCCATCCTATGTTTTTGTAAATTAGAATTTACATTTTCTTAAGCTCTTCAAATTTTTTTTATTTGAAATTTGAAGCTGTTTGAGTTTCATTTCTTTTTTTTTTTTTTCAACTGTCGAGATAATTGGAAACCCCCAACAAAGTTAGATTAACACTCGAAGGTAATCGACGTCAAGGTGCTAAGCAGTTTGAGTTTCATTTCAATGAGGTACATTAAGTGCTAATTTCTGTCACACTCTTATCCTTGCATCATTTCTAGGATTTCTTTTTTCTAAAGCCATTTTTTTCCCCTTTAACAACCTTTGAGAGATTTTTGCAAAAAAAAAAAAAAAAATGTGTTGACAATTTTTTTTAAGGCAGAACTTAAGATTTTCGTATGGATTGCATTTTTTTTTACAAAAAAATGTTAATGCAACATATATTATGACGTGATGTATGTCCTATATAACAGGTAATAGCAAAATATGTTTAATAAAGCTTGTGAAAATTTTTTCCATACAGTGTTACATAATTCCTGAGCATACTTTTATTTTTCAATTTTTTATTTTTGATTCAAGAAAAATGCTAAAACTTAGAATGAGAGGTTTTTCTTTTGTGGCCCCGGGGGGGGGGGAGAGAGAGAGGACGGGTTGAGAGCGACAAAGGTTCTGAATTTTGCAGTTAAATGGACGTGTGCAAATGGAGTGTGAGAAAACATCAGTGAAATAAAATAAATTAGAGGTCTAAAATTGAGAAGATTAGTGGTGAAATAGCGATACTTTCATTTCATAGTAATGGGCTGGTAAAGTACAGGCGGGCCAAGGGTTGGTATCAAATGAGGATTCTTGTGGGTTTTCTTGGGGTAGGGCAAAGATGGGCCGAGTGTTTAGAAGAGAAGTGAGGACGATTGCTCCTGGGCCGCCAGTGACGGGCCATAAAGAGGTGTTGCACCCAGAAAAGAAGGTTTGAGCGTGAAGGGAGCTGTCTAGTCTGAGCCGTAGCAGCGGCCGTCGTGGTGGCGGTGGTGCCTTTTTGATAGTTGTATGTAGGAGGACTCTAATGGAGACTGTCTAGACATATTACATACTACGCTACCTTGAGTGATTCGCCTAAGGACTAAAAGGAAGGAAGTTGACAGCCGGCAAAGTTTAATGCTCCACTTAGAATGGATGAAACAATTATGGAAGTGGAGGTTGCGGAGAAGCGGCGATGTACAAGTAGTAGCAGTAGTTGGCAGCTCAAAAGGGGTCCCTATTTGGGAGAAGTCTCGGCCCTCTGTTTTCTCCACCTTCCCTCCACCAACGCGCCCACCTTTCTCCTCCTCTTCCTTTACTTTTAGCTGGTAACCGCTCTTCTCTTTTCTTTCTTTTTGTTTTTTCCATGCGTTACTCATACCTAAATCTGTTTTGTCCACCAATCCCTCTCCCCAACCCAACCCCCAAAAAAAAAAAACACAGTACTGGTTCCGAAATCCTTGTCTATGACTTGTCCTCTGCACACATCCTTGCATCTTTCCAAGTCTTCGACGGCACTCGCGTCCACGGTATAACTTTGGACCCCCACCACAACCCCGATCACTCCCGTGATGCTTTCTTCAACCTTGCTGTCTATGGGGAGAGAAGAGTCAAATTCTACAGCTTGCAAATCACCAATGCCCGACTTCCTCAACTACGTAAACAACCTCCTCCTCGTCCTCCTCCTGCTGCTGCTGCTTCTTCTTGTCATCTGCAACTAACTCTCCTTCATTCCCTCCCTAAATTCGCCCACTGTTCTCGATGTTTGCTTCTTGAACAAGGTCTCTCTCTCTCTCTCTAATATCCTAACTCCCTTTTACTGCCCTTCATATTTGTTTTCCACGTTTTCTTTTCATATCGGGAAAAGACTGATCAACTCTCTTTCCTCTCTCTTTTATTATTCTCTTCCTCCCTCAATAGAATGCTGCTACTTCCTCAAATGAAGGGGGCTATTGGCTTGCCATTGGTTGCACTGACAACTCTGTATGGTTCTGGGACATTTTCGCCTACACTCTTGTTTCCCAAGTTATGTGCCCAGGTTGGTTCCTTCCCCCCCCCAAAAAAAAAAACAAACCACCCACAAACAACAACCAAAAAAAAATAACCGTTTCTAGTAAAAGAGTTACAACTGCCAAAATTCTTCTGCAACTCAACAATTGCTTCAGCTTTCTAAAAGCATTTTATGTGTTACAAAGATTTAGAATCCACTGAGAAAATTACCCTGTTCTTTCTTTTCTTTTCTTTTTTTTTTTTTAAAAAAAACTCTATATGACCCTTCACACTGTATACTGTCTAAATAAAATGTCATTCTTTTTGCTTTTAGATAGATGTTTGTTGTACTCAATGCGGATGTGGGGCAGTGATGTTGAATCTTTGCGTGTTGCTTCTGCGTACCATTTATAACGAGGTAGATGAATTTTCCTATATATCGTGCCTCTTGCTTAACATGAGAGTGCATTTCGCGACTGAATAAATAATTGTATCTTTTGTGAATGTTTACATTTGGTTACATGAGGAAGTAACTATGCATGTTGCAGTGCAAAATTTAAATAAATTGACATGATGGTAATGAGGAAGTAATTATGCGGGTTGCGATGTGGTAATCCAATTATTCCACAACCTTTTTCAGAAACTTACTAGTTCTCAATTTCACTTTTTTCAAGAATTTTCCTGTGACAGGAGCGTGAACCTACTAAACAAACAAGAGCTGCTGGTATATATGTCCAATGTGGTTGTGGGAACACACCCAGTTAATTGCATTTTGATGTTTTGTAGGCAGTTTAGGTAATCATGAATCTCATTAAGCGTTTTAACGTCAAAATATGGAGTGTTTAATAATGGAGACTAGGTTCATTTGGTCAAATTTGTCTTGGAATCATACATTCCTCTGTTAGCATGATTCTGACAAAATATGTGCTTTGGCAATCAGGAATGCTATTAATGGTTTTGCTGTCTTTGCTCCTATGCTTCTCTACGATGTTGCTACTGTGTAACTGATTTCATTTCATAGTGTCTTTCATCCTTTCCTTGTTTATGGACTTGTATGAGTTGAGTTTGCACTTCTACCTTGTTATCTGTGCTTGGTTTTCATCCGCTTTTCCCTTGTCCATCTCCATCTTTTTCCTTACCGCAATGCAAATGGAATTAAATATTGAATCACCATTCTGGAGGACTCTCGGGCCTCTTGGTTGCTAATTTTATGGGGTATAAAGTAGCATTACGTGGTCAATCATAGATACCATATGGGACTGATGACTATTGTTGACGAATTTTGAAACTAGACTTCTTCCATTCATAGCACATTAAGTAGATTGATATGTGTGAGCACTTTAGTCAATCTATTAATGCTGTTTTGCTGTATATAGTTTTATTTTCACCCTTTTGAAGAAAACACCTATTGAATTATTTTTTTCCTTGAGGATGACCTTATGTTGTTTACTGCGTTAAACAGTTTGTGATTTCTTATTGAAGCATTCTACTATTGTACAACTGTAACTATGGTTCTTCTACTTGTGTTAGCATCAATCTTCAACAACACTTGCAGCATTGCCTCATTTTAAGTCTTAATTCCCCTGTTCTTGAATGTTCAGTTTCATGAATCGAGAATTGTTGGGTTCTGGCAGATTATTGTGTGGAAGTTGGACTTTCAGAATCATTCTCCAGTTGTAAGTAGTCCTGCAGAAGACCAGACACATTCTGTGATGGACAAGGGTGTCCAGATTTGTGGTCAGTTATATCAAGCTGTTAATATATGCCGACTGACTGGGCATGAAGGTTCAATTTTTCGCATTGCTTGGCTGCCTGGTGGATCAAAATTGTTGTCTGTCTCAGATGATCGTAGGTAAAAGTCTTCTTGAAGTTCATCTTATTTAATGGAAAAAATTTCAATTGAGTCAAATTCAAAGTTTTTATCTGTTGCAGTGCTCGTGTTTGGTTAGTTAATGACAGAGGAGATGGTTTCTGTGGTGCTCAGGAAGTTGCAGATGATTTTGTTGGTCTTGTCTTATTTGGTCACAGTGCTTGAGTGTGGGACTGCTGTATATTCGATAATGTAAGGAAGAAAGATGGGAATGTTCCTCTAGGAATTTTGCTCTCATGTTTATTTTATGTAAAGGTTGCATCAGATTAGCTTGAGTTAGCACATCTTTTTTTTGTACTGTCATGCTTATACTGTTTCCCGTGATGCAATATATATTGAGCATGTTGTCAGAATTATGATTTAGTGACCTAAAAAGAAAAATTTTTTATTGAACGCAAGCTTATTGGAGACCAATTTTAGCATGTTAAACTGAAAGAGAATGACAGAAATGCTGTATTTTTTCCCTTTTTTCTGTAGTTAGTCTTCATCTGGTACCTTTATCTAGAATAATATAATATGGATTTTTCTTGTTCATGTATAATTGAAGTACGGTTCAATACCTTCAATTTGTAGAAGATGACTGAGCTTACTGGAAGCACCTC